ACCTTTGGGTTTTGCAGGCCATAGAATAGCTTAGGGATAATGTGATTTTGAGGATTGCGAACTTCTGGTCCGGCTTAAGAGGGGATCTCTTAAGATTGGCCAGCCAGGTCGGTAGATTAGCGAGGGAAGGGCGCATTAGTCCTTTGACGGACGCTTCATGGCCAAGATAACGGAAGCTGTTGACCTCCGTCACCATGGCCACGCGGCGTCCATCAATCGTAAGTTTGTAATCTTTCCTAGGCGCCAGGACACCCCTCGCCAATCCCACGACCATGGCTGAGCACTTTTTAGGGTTTAGTGCCATGCCCTTGGACTTCGCGAACTCAACAATCTCATCGAGGACCAGAGGGATATTCTCCTCCTGATCCTCGAGCAAGACTATGTCGTCCGCAAACGCCATGGCAGACACCCTCACCCCAGGCAATATTGTTCCGCCTCGCTCCCCATTATTAAGCCCGGCCAGAAGCTCATCAATCACTAGATTGAAAAGTAGCGGACTTAGCGGATCCCCTTGCTTTACACCGCAGCTAAACCCAATGTCCCTCGTCGTTTCCTGCCCCACCCGAATCTGTGTCACAGAGGTTGCCAAGTTTGTCGCAACGTAACGTATGGAACGCTCGTCCACCCCAAACCGTCTGAGAGCTCCCACAACGCTCCCATGTCCAACAGTGTCAAAGGCCTTCCGCAAATCGAGTGAAGCGACCGCGTACTCTTTATTGGAGGACACCCTATTTCGAATGTATGAGTGTAAAATCATACAATTCGCGAGAGTGCCGTCCAGCGTACTAAATCCGCGTTGATTGGCTTCCAGGGCGACGACCTTCCGCAAGCGGTTAGCCATCGCCCTGTGCATCAGTCGCTGGAGGGCACTCCCGATAGTAAGGGGCCTCCAATTCGCCGCCTCGCTCCGTTGGCCGTCTTTATATATAATTGTGGTCCTAGACCGCAGGAAGATGGCAGGGTGCACGTTTCTCATAAGGATTATTGAATATAAAACACATAGCACCCTGTTGTTCGTATTTTTAACCGATGCCACCGTTATTCCGTCAGCACCAGGTGCTGAGTTAGCCCATGCTGTTTTGGCTGCCTCTAGTTCGCTTTCTTCGAATGGAGCGAAAGTGGTGGCATCGGTGTTTCGTGGTTCGGGATGAACCGTCATCGTCTCCGTCGCAGCCCGCTCGAAGATCCCGCTATACAGCTCCTCAACCGCTTTTAGAGGTGGTACCTCTTCAGTAGAGTCTAGTGGAGTTCCTGAAATGATTTTATCCACTAGAGCTGATCTGTTACGGAGGTAGAGATCCTGGGCCTTTTTGTATGATTCTACCCGTGGACCTCTTCCTGGTCTAGTACCTCCGTAATTTGATTTTGGTCCACCTCTGTGACCATTTGGGTTGTATTTCCTTCCCCCTTTTTGGAAATCTTCTATTATCCAATTGTCTAGATAGGAGGCAAGATCATTAACCGCAAGCGATGATCCTGCCTGGCACAGGTCCGCCAGATGGCCGTTCCCATTGGCCAGCGCTGCTTCGCGTTCAGACGCGAGGTATTCGCGCAGCGCTGGTTCAATGACCACCTGGGTTTGTTCGACCTGTGCGGGGGAGTTGGCGGTGAGGTTGACTGCATCGGTGCGGGGTCTCCTTACTGTAGGCTGCGACAGAGGCGACATCGATTCATTCCGAATCCTCTTCCTGCTTGTCATCGGATCTGGAGTGATTGGCGATAGTGCGGACGCAACCGCGGAGGAGCACTCACCCTCTTTTACATCGTCGCGAGCTGTTGGTGGCGTCGATGTCGCTGCCTGATGGTCGATCTTCTCGTTCGTTGGGCAGGTGGGCGGCTCACAGGGCACACTGGGAGAAGGGATTGGTTGCTGTTTCTTCCTAGCGGCATCGAGGTATTGCTTATAGATGGGTTTATCCCTTCGATGCCGTATTTGGTCCTTCGTCAGACCTGATTCGGCAACCATTTTCGCCATAAAGGGGCCTTTATGTGACTGGATCTCGATGTTTGCCAGTATATCATAGATTTCGGAATCAGGCCTTCGTAGTTCCCTCCTCCTGCTGTCGTTTTCTGCTTCGGGGTGTGCCCTCTGCTCGTGAAGCCGCACCCCTGTGTATGTAGTAAAACCTGCTTTGCAATATTGGCATTTAGTTCGATCGCGCTTGCCACATGTTAGGAGATGTTTGTTGAGGCCACTTTTTGTCTCATAGGGCCTCTCGCATATTTGACACCTGTATGGTGCTGCATTGGCAGGCTGCAGGGTCACCGTATTACTGGGCCCTGGTATTGGAGAAACGGTATTCGAGCCTGCCAATTTGGTTCCGGTGGCTGTTGGGCCACCGGCAGTCGATTTTCCACCCGCTGGAGGGGATTTAACTGGTTCCCCCTCATTTATATCGAATTTCCTCTTGCGGGTGGGGTGACGTGACGTCATGTCACGTGTTCTAACTCTCTCTGCCGCAACAGCGGTTTTAAATGTCTTCCTCTTGGAATCCGCCATTGCGCATGCGCCGCTGTTGTTGAGTGTCTTTGGGTAGATTAAAGTACTGTCCTTTCCGCGTATGGGAGTGAAGACCGTTTGCCGCTACGTGGTCTGGTTCCGGAGATATCGCGTGTGAAAGATTTTATCTCCGGAACTACCTCCTCCCAGCTCCTGGTCTCCTGATACCTGGCCGCACTTAATACGGCCAGTACGGCGTTAACTGTCGAGTTATGGAGCTGAGATTTGGTGTGTGTCCTTGGGGCCGGTAGATGATTGATTGGACGCCTTTTTGGCCCCGTCGGACACGATGTACTTGCCAAAAGGGCACTAGCGGCTTGACGCCGGAAACCGGCGTTGCGGGGGGCAATCGAGCTGGTGTGATAGAGTCATAGTTACTCCCGCCGTTTACCCGCGCTTGCTTGAATTTCTTCACGTTGACATTCAGAGCACTGGGCAGAAATCACATTGAGTCAACACCCGCAGGGGCCATCTCAATGCTTTGTTTTAATTAGACAGTCGGATTCCCCCGGTCCGTGCCAGTTCTGAGCTGACCGTTGAATGGCGGCCGAAGAGGACACCAGAACGCCCTTGCGAGCGCACTCTGGGCCTCGCAGCAAGACGGTTCCGCGGGAGGCCAAGGCACGGTACCGAGTTCGGATCCGCAATCCTACCGCACACGCGCGAACGCATACGACAGAACGTTTCACCTCGCCCAGGCCCGGCACGTCAGCCGCGACCCGCTTCCTCGCCAAGCCCGACACGCCCCGATCCTCAGAGCCAATCCTTATCCCGAAGTTACGGATCCAATTTGCCGACTTCCCTTACCTACATTATTCTATCGACTAGAGGCTCTTCACCTTGGAGACCTGCTGCGGATATGGGTACGAACCGGCGCGACACCTCCACGTGGCCCTCTCCCGAATTTTCAAGGTCCGAGGGGAAGACCAGGACACCGCTGCAACTGCGGTGCTCTTCGCATTCCAAACCATATCTCCCTGCTAGAGGATTCCATGGAACTCGAATGCTTATGCAGAAAAGAAAACTCTTCCCTGGTCTCCCGACGGCGTCTTCGGGTCTTTTTGGGTTACCCCGACGAACTCTCTTGCGAGGGCCCGACTATTGTACGGTTCCGCTGCCGGGTTTCGGAATAGGAACCGAATTCCCTTTCGCCCGACGGGCGTGTTCTTTATATATACACACATACATACATATATTTATAAAACAACGCCACATCAACATCGGCTTTCGCCTAGGGCTTAGGATCGACTGACTCGTGTGCAACGGCTGTTCACACGAAACCCTTCTCCACGTCAGTCCTCCAGGGCCTCGCTGGAGTATTTGCTACTACCACCAAGATCTGCACCGACGGCGGCTCCAGACGGCCTCACGGCCAGCCCTTCTGCGCGCACCGCCGCGACCCTCCTACTCGTCAGAGCTTCATGGCCGATCCGTTTTTACGCGGATCGAGACCGCACATGCCGCTGACGGCCGAGTATAAGCACGACGCTTCAGCGCCATCCATTTTCAGGGCTAGTAACTTCGGCAGGTGAGTTGTTACACACTCCTTGGCGGATTCCGACTTCCATGGCCACCGTCCTGCTGTCTTAAGTTACCAACGCCTTTCATGGTATCCCATAAGCGTCGATTTAGGCGCTTTAACTCGACGTTTGGTTCATCCCACAGCGCCAGTTCTGCTTACCAAAAATGGCCCACTTGGCACTCTGATTCGATTCTCGCAGCTTCATTAGTTCGAGCAAGCCGGAGATCTCACCCATTTAAAGTTTGAGAATAGGTTGAGGTCGTTTCGACCCCAATGCCTCTAATCATTCGCTTTACCGGATGAAACTCGTCACAGACGAGCGCCAGCTATCCTGAGGGAAACTTCGGAGGGAACCAGCTACTAGATGGTTCGATTAGTCTTTCGCCCCTATACCCAGTTCCGACGATCGATTTGCACGTCAGAATCGCTACGGACCTCCATCAGGGTTTCCCCTGACTTCGTCCTGACCAGGCATAGTTCACCATCTTTCGGGTCCCAGCGTGTACGCTCTTGGTGCGCCTCTTCTCGTAATGAGAACGAGACGCCCCGGGAGTGCGGAGCGGCCGCTTTATAGACGTGCCGCCCATCTTCCCTAAATCCGCGCTAGGCGGATCTTTACTTTCATTGCGCCTTTAGGTTTAGTTATGTCCCAATGACTCGCGCACATGCTAGACTCCTTGGTCCGTGTTTCAAGACGGGTCCTGAAATTACCCAAAGCTATAGCGTCGCAGATCGGCGTTTCAAACGAGGTCTGTCCGAGAAATCCGCACGACCAACAGTCGTCCGGGGACGGAACCGGGCGCTAGGTCCGATCGCCGTCTTAGCATCGAACGTGCTTGTCGTGGGTCGGACGCTAATTGAAGAAGTAGCGGCCTCGCGCCATCTGTATACCGTCGAGCGAGTCGGCCGGAACATCGCGGGTTCGAGCACGAATCGCCGAAACGATCGTACACGGACTCCACCGCGAGCCGTAGACCGACACCCAACGGATCGCGACGTCCTACTAGGGGAAAAGTGCACGCGTTCGACGCCGGATCGAAAAGCGAAAGGCGCGGACGACGCGCGAACGCCGTCCGTCGCGCGACCGCTCATCGCCGACGGCCGAAACGCGAATGAATTTCCCCTTTCGACCTTTCGGGTTTCTCAGGTTTACCCCTGAACGGTTTCACGTACTCTTGAACTCTCTCTTCAAAGTGCTTTTCAACTTTCCCTCACGGTACTTGTTCGCTATCGGTCTCGTGGTCATATTTAGCCTTAGATGGAGTTTACCACCCACTTAGGGCTGCACTCTCAAGCAACCCGACTCTGAGGAGAGATCCTCCCGCGATCGGCAGCGGCCACTACGGGCCTGGCACCCTCTATGGGCTGTGGCCCCGTTCAAGAAGGACTTGGACTCGCCGCGCGACCTCGGGATAAACGGATCCTCCCTAACACCACATTTCCCGGCGCCCGATATCGACCGCGGGATTCGGTGCTGGGCTTTTCCCTGTTCGCTCGCAGCTACTGAGGGAATCCTAGTTAGTTTCTTTTCCTCCGCTTAGTAATATGCTTAAATTCAGCGGGTAGTCTCACCTGCTCTGAGGTCGGTTAACAATATACAACACAACACCACACACAGATATATATGTCACACGCGATCGCTAATACTAAATCGTATAGCTGCTGCTGCTATACTACTACTAGTCGAAAGCGTTCTCTAGTGTTTAGCGCGTATATGCGATCAGACGTCGTTATCTCGAAAAAAATAATTTCTCTCTCGGACACGACGATCGCAGCGCAAGTTCGAAACGCGTAACGACTACAGCATATATACATATATATATATATATATATATATATGTAGTGCTATTACGATTTTTATCCGTACAGCGCGCGTGTTCGTTCTATGTGTGAGTTTTGAGATGCCGCGACGACGACAAAGACGACGACGTTTACGATATTACATAAATAAATATATAATAACTAGCGTCGTCGCGTCGTACCGCCGCGTCTACATCCAACACGCTCCGACGTTTCATTCTCCTCTCTCATGTCGTCGTCGTCGTCGTCGTCTCTCGGATAAAGAGATAATACGACGACGCGAACAGAGATCGGAGAGGAAACCGAGCAGTCTTTTAAATTGATACGACCCTCAGCCAGGAGTGGTCCGGGAACAGTATCCGAGGACCGCAATGTGCGTTCGAAATGTCGATGTTCATGTGTCCTGCAGTTCACAAGTTGACGCGCAATTAGCTGCGTTCTTCATCGACCCACGAGCCAAGTGATTCACCGTTCAGGGTAATCGTTTTTTAATTAGACGATCTCTATATATATAAAATATATATCGATACGTCTTTATTGTTATGATAATGGCTAATGTTATTAAAGAAAATATATAAAAAAAAGAAAGCGCGCATTTCTCACGGAGACTTCGTGTATTTTGCGCGGCAAACGCGCAAAATTATTTTTGCGCGTTTATAACAAACGAGCGTGCCGACGAAGTCTCTCGTGTACGCGCGCATTCTATCCGTATCGCGCTTCTATAGCATACGCGTGTGCAAGGGGTACAAATAACACTACAACAGAGTTGTACATAACATGAATATATATGTATGTATTAAGCGTACAACACGTGTCGTCCTCTTGTACCGTCTTTTCGTATGGCGTAGAAATTTCGACTAACGGGCGAATATCTTTAAAAACAACCGGAAAAGAAGGAAATGAGTCGTGCGGACACGACGACATATCTCCGTTCTTCTCCCATATAGAGTTACCCGTCGAAAATATCGCCATCCGTACAGACGACGACGTCGTAGAGACACGTGTGTACATACGCATACGCATACAACACAATATTATGTCTATGCGATATACGCGTGTCGGAACGTACCCCGAGCGCGCGCTCGCGCGTACTAGAAGCGCTCTATACGGCGTGGTGCGTTCGAAAATTATACGTATTATATGATGGTGGGACGACGAAAAGATTTTCAATAAGATTTATAAAAAAGATACGCACTCGCGTACACGACGAGACGAGGGAAGAGGTTGTGTGTTACACACAAACAACAACACCTCGTTCGGGTAATATACACGTGTGTGCGCTCGATCTTACTATAAATGTTCCTTATTATCTTTTCGAACGTCGCTACATCATCGCCTATAATAAAAAGGCAAATTCGTTCAATGAATAGTAAAGTGTATAAGAGTAAAGTATCGTGTTGAAATATATTACTCATTATACGAAAGACTTTTTTTTGTCAAAGACAAAAATTAAAGCACTGTAATGATCCTTCCGCAGGTTCACCTACGGAAACCTTGTTACGACTTTTACTTCCTCTAAATGATCAAGTTTGGTCATCTTTCCGGCAACATCGACGACGCCGAAACGCCCACCGCGTACCAGTCCGAAGACCTCACTAAATCATTCAATCGGTAGTAGCGACGGGCGGTGTGTACAAAGGGCAGGGACGTAATCAACGCGAGCTTATGACTCGCGCTT